ATGTGGAAGAGATGAGATGATATCGATGTGAATGCGGCATACCGTCCGTCGCACCAACACCCCGAGCACAATACATTTACACTCAAGAAGATCATGTAACTTTTTTTTAACAAATCCATATGGATCATCACTTTCACAATTTCTGTGAAACATGCAAAACACATCTCTATGTATGCATCTCATTTTCGTTTCAAAGCACATGATATTCACATCACATGTAGTAATTTTGATTTATTTACTTTTAACTAATCAAATAGATTAAATTTTCTCTAATTAGGAGAGATAATGTAAAATCAGAAAATTGAGCTAAAAGAAAAAACAAGTCAAACCGGTTATACACATTTTGATACACATGGTCTTCAAACAATCCCAAAAAACATCTATCTATATATATATATATATATATATATATATATATATATATATATATATATATATATATATATATATATATAAAAGTAAGTTCAAATAAAAACAGTAAATAGTATGAGAACGTAAAAACACTATTTTTATGTTATTATTCTGTAATAAATTTTGTATATGTGTATTGTTGAAGTAATTCTAATATAAATATTAACTTTCGACTAGTCATATATTCATTATAATGTTATTATTCTATTATAAACTTATGTATGAACATTTTTTAGTAAATTTTAAATTTAATTTTAACCTTTGACTATTCATTTATTCTTTACTGAATAAGGACACGAAGGTGTCGATATAAAATTCATTGCAGAATAATAACATAAAAAAGTGTTTTTACGTTCTCACACTATTTATCGTTTTTATTTGAACTATCTCATATATATATATATATATATATATATATATATATATATATATATATATATATATATATATATATATATATATATATATATATATATATATATATATATATATATATATATATATATATATATATATATATAGAGGATCAAGTATGAACTCAAAAAATGTTAAGAATCACGAGGATAATTTTTGTACTTAAAAGTGAAAAAATAAATGGCCAAGATTTAATTTTATTTATTGTCAAAATCTCGCGAGATGATATGATATTTTGGTAATTAAATGCGAGATTTTGATAATCTCCACGGAAGGCTAATTGTTTTGAAGATACAAATGACAAAAGCAAAAAGATTAAAAGAAAAAAAGAAATAAAAATCGGCTCATGTGGCCTCTCCAGATGCTGCACGTGCCCCCACCATAATATGACAAAATTTCAACCTTTATTAGTTGATGAGTTTTTTTTACACCTGTTTATTTTTTTGGCCATAACATTTTTTTTCTTAGAAAAAAATTCTTAAAAAAAAGTTTTTAAATTTAATTCTCTATAAAATGAGCATAATCGTGAAATTTTGTTTTTTTTATTTTTTATATTTATATAAAAATCTAATTTTTTTTTTCCAAAAAATATAAAAATTTAAGGAATACTTCTACTCATCATTCTAATGACTTTATAAAAAGAATTTTTAAAAAATTAGGTCTTTTAGACACCAAAGTTGAATTTAATATATATATATATATATATATATATATATATATATATATATAATATGATCAAAGTAAAGATCATTCAAAATATTTATGATTCAATAATATTATTATTCAATATATTTATGATCCTTATCTTGTTATAATCTAAAAATATTTTGATTCAAATATTTAATGGTCCTTAACTTTATATTTTTTATGATTCAAAATTTAACAATTTAAAAAATATAATGATATAAATATTGTATTGAACAAAAACTTTATTTAATTAAATATATTATGATCCAAATTTATATTATCAAAAAATGTATGATTAATAACATCGTTATGATTAAAAATACTATGATTCAAAATTATATGATCCAAAAATAATATGATTCAAGAAAGTATGAACGGAAAATATTATGATGCTTAATATTCTTATTCTTATTTAAAATTTTATAATTGTTAAATATTAAAAACTCAAACAAATATTTAGTTTACAAAATCAAAAAAAAAAAAAATCAAAACAAAAGCAAAAACAATCAAAAAAATAAAAAAAAAATAAAGAAAAAACCTTAGTATCTTCAGGTATGTAGTAAAGATATTAATACAAAAAATTAAAATAAAAAATTAAAAAAAGGAAATAAATAAAAATAAATAAAAACGTTAAAACCAAACATATATTTGTTTAAAGAAAATTGAATTTTATTAACGAACAAAAAATAAAAGAAAAACCAAAATAAACGAAAAAGAAAAGAAAAACTCATTTAAATGACGTTTCATAAACGTTCGTCGCACATGATTATTCCCTCGAGGTGGTATTACGTTGGACGTTTGTCGGGTACGAAATCATCACAACCAAGTAAATGAGTTTGATATTTGTACTAATTTTTGGGTTCCTACCGGATCCGGATCCGGACCCTATATATATATATATATTAGTGTAGTGATTTAGATAAAAAAAGGAATGCAATTATGTTAAAATTAATATATAATGCATTTTAAATTGAAATGTATAAATAAGATGAAAAAAATTATCACGGAACCGATCACGACATTGAATTATTGCCGATCTCAAAAAATGAAAGGAAGGAAGATTGTACTGGTGTGGACACGTCCAAAAGAGGCTATTAATAAAGACAATACGGGTGTCGAGATTGATTGTAAGAAAAGGAAAGGACAAGAAGAAAATGAAAATTTAGCATGAGATTAGAAATGAAGGAAAATGACCGATAAAGAGGTATGTAGATGCTTAGGCCATGAGGTATTGCATACATTTTGACGCGTCTAATCTTACGTGGCAGCGATGTTCACGTGTGAACCGCCACACAATCCCATATGTGTGATGCGTATTAAGTATACTCACAAGTTGTCATAACCAATCACATTTGTTTCTTCCAAACGTTTAAAAATTGGACAACGATCTATGAATATATGATTTAAATGTAATTAAAAGGTTTTTGGCACCGTTGCACAAAAATGTTTGACGAATTTACACATTTAGTCACTCAAGTATTTTTTATGCTCAATGTCCTTAGTGTTAGGAAATACCGACTAGTTAAGGGTTTTGGGGAAATTGTATCTAGTTTACGAGTGACATGTTGACGTGGCTTAACATATGTGAGTTTGTTTTTTGGCACTGTAGCACAACAAAGTTTTGCGAATTTACACATTTAGTACCTCAAGTAACCCGTTGTTCCTATATCAGGTAATATAATGGTGTAATTGATCGGTAAAATTCAACTTTAATCGTCTATTAGGCACAAAAAATACTTGAGTGACTAAATGTATAAATTCGCCAAACTTTGTTGTGTTACAGCGCCAAAAACCCGTGATTAAATGGTATAAAAAGGAAGACTGAAGCTTTAGTTCTCAACAAGGGAGAATTTCATATATGCCATTCTTGAACATCAAAATATAATATTTACGTAACTTAATTTCTAAATATCATATTTACTTTTCATAAAATTTCTAAATATCATATTTACCCTTCATAAAATTTCAAAATATCATATATGTCCTTTTTAAATATCAAAATATCATATATGTCTTTCTTAAATATCAAAATATCATATATGCACTTTTTAAACATCAAAATATGAATGATAATATCTAAAATATCTTCCATGTAAAACATGATAATCAACAACAAAAAAACTAAACAATCAAAATATACATTCCGTAGAGAGGAATGAAGATGAATATTTTTGTTTGTCAAAAGAGCGATATTCCAATAATTTATAAGTTCATATTTCATTATCATGGACGTAAGGATAATATGGTTAAATTTTTTAATTATTATAATAATTCTAATATATAAAATATGATTATAAAATATTAAAAACATTATAAAAAAGGATTTGAGCAAATATGATATTTTGAAGGTTTATAAAGGGTAAATATGATATTGAGAAATTAAGTTGGACAAATATGATATTTTAAAGTTTAAGAAGGGTATATATGAAATTCTCCCTTTCAACAATGACTTCCTTTTTTTCCCTCAGATAACCGAGTAAGAAGAAAACTAAAATGAGTATTTGGGAGTAGAATGAACGTCAAAACGAATTCTTCAATTTTGTTTTCGATTGAATTTACAATTATAGTATCTGAGATTGTGTCTTTTAATTTTATTACAACCTCCCATTTATCTTTGAATCAATTTAAACACTCTAAGTATTTTTAATTTGAATCAATTTAACCGCTTATGTTTATTTAATTTTAAAACTTAATTAGTAATATTTTTATTAATTTTTTTTTCGTAAAATGATTATTTAAGTTTAAAATTATGTTTTTTTATTTAATATAATGTTAAAAAAAAATATATGAATAATATGGAGCGGTAACTATTTTCAAATTATAGTAGTGTTGATAATGAATATATAGTTAATAACTATTTTTCTAATGAAGATGTAGTGACCATCATCTTATCATTAGTGTAGTGTAGTAGCCTATATCCCTTCATACATATCTCTTATCCTTGTTTGTGTTGTTTGTCTAATTTGTTTTCTATTGAATTACCTAGTGGATGTTTTTGTTTTGAGATTTAGTTTTTGTTACTACTTTCTACCGACTACTCATACGTCGTATATGCTTTATTAGAGTATGTGGTATAAGCTTTATTACAATCACTACAAGAAAAGAGCCATTTACGACGAACATTAATCACTACAAGAGAACAGCCATTTACGACGAACATTTTAGAGACGACATTAGTCGTCTCTAAAAACCCACTTTACAATTATTTGTACATATATACGTGGAAGGTAATACATGTGAATCAGGCGTCTATTCCATATGTTTGTTCTCATCTACCTTATGGGTATATTGTTATTGTTTTCATTAATGATGGATTATATAAACTCATAATCAGAAATAATAATTGGAACCACAACACATTTCTTAGAATATATATATATATATATATATATATATATATATATATATATATATATATATATATATATATATATATATATATATATATATATATATTCATATCAGTCTCTTCACAAACACACATACACACACCACCCAATGGAGAAGATATGCCACAAGATGGTGGCTGTGAATGGAATAAACATGCACGTAGCAGAGCTTGGCACAGGCCCAACCATCCTCTTCCTCCATGGCTTCCCGGAGCTCTGGTATACCTGGCGCCACCAGATTCTCTATCTTGCCTCGCATGGCTACCATGCTGTAGCACCTGATCTCCGTGGCTATGGTGACACCACTGGTGCTCCTACCTCCGACCCCACCAAGTTCACCTCCCTTCATGTGGTTGGAGACCTGGTGGCGCTCATCAACACGGTGGCTGCCCCAGGTGAAGATAAGGTATTTGTGGTCGGACATGACTGGGGTGCAATCATTGCCTGGGCTTTGTGCCTTTATCGGCCGGATAAAGTAAAAGCCTTGGTGAATATGAGTGTTGCTTTCCAGCCAAGAGATCCTAATACCAAACCTGTTGAAGCATATCGAGAGATTTATGGAAACGATTACTATGTAGTTAGATTTCAGGTTCTCTAATTAATTCTCTCATCAATCATCATAAATAAATACAACCACTGCATGCCACCATGCACTAACAAGTAACAACCATTAACCACCACTCGCCATTATGTTCCAGGAAACCGGAGAAATTGAAGGTGAATTTGCGGTATATGGTACGGATAGAGTATTAAATGCTTTCTTCAATTATCGCAAACCTGCTCCTCTTTTTCTACCCAAGGGTAATGGTTTAGGAATCTCACCTGATGATCCTATAATCGTGCCTTCATGGATGACCAAAGAAGATCTTGAATACTACACCGGAAAGTTTGAGAAAACTGGCTTCACTGGAGGTCTAAACTACTATCGAGGTCTCGACTTGTAAGTCTGATGATGATTTGAACTATAGTAAAAATGGAGGATAGATTGAGAAATTAAAAATATTTTTGATCTACATGCAGGAACTGGGCATTAACTAGCCCATGGACTGAAGCCAAAGTGAGTGTACCTGTTAAGTTCATCGTCGGTGACCTTGACCTGACTTACAACTCGGTTGGTGGTAAAGACTATATAGAAAGTGGAGAGTTCAAGAAAGATGTTCCTCTTTTAGAAGAAGTAATCATACTCGAAGGTGTTGCTCATTTTCTTCATGAAGAAAAGCCCGAGGAAATTAATAAGCATATCCACCAATTCTTTGAAAAATTCTCTATCTAAACACTACAACCGTTTATGATCAATCAACGGGAATATATTTAAGAAGATGCTCTGAAGATATTGCTACAAATGAAAAATAAGCTCGTGTAAGTATAGATACAATAATGCCTTCAAGAAACGCCTTGTGCAGCGTTTGCTATATATATAGACTCTTGGTGACACATATTGTCGTTATAGGGTTTGTCGATGTTGCTAGTCCAAATGATTTGTAAAGGTGATCTTAAAATAAAAATGCATCAACAATCAAATCATTAGATTGGTGGTTTGAACAAATGGAAAATATATAATATTAAACCACACCAATTATATATCGATCTCACATTCAAACCAAACAAAACCCGGCCAGAATTTAATAAAACCCAATAGTCGTATAAAAGTGATTAACATAATGCTGATATTTCCAAAACACTTTTTGATACATCCAGATAAGGAAAGCGGATAAGTCAAGTAACAAACAAAACCTAATTTATAACAAATTGATATGGATTTCTTTGATCACAGTCCGGTCATCCAGATAAGGAAAGCGGACTTTCGGATTATATTGTCAGGATTTATTCGGATTTGGTAGAAAATTTTGGCTCCGGTGTAAGATTTGGATCGGATATGATTTGTATTTTCGTATTATCCGTTTTTTTATATTTATTTTAAAAATATGTTTAACTCCAACCAAATATATTTGATTACTAGGTGTGAGCATATGTATTACATGAGTGTATTTAAAATAATTAAATATGTATAAACATTTTAGAGATTTGAATTTATAAGAAAAATAAGAAAAATATTAAATTACTAAAATTAAAGTGTTTTTTTTTTCTCTTTTAAATTTAAACAAATCATTTAGATAAAATAATCAAAGCAAATTAATCACATTTTATTTTAAAATTTTGAAATTATAAGAAAATCTATTAATGAAATTGATATGCACTTATTATTAAATTTAAATATCATATGGATTTTAATAAAATAGGAAAACCATAAAATTACATATGAAATAAAAATTAATTTAAAATAACCACAAAATAGAATATAACACGACAAAATGAATGAGATGACAAGTGACAAAATATATATATATGATTTTCTAGATAAAAGCCTGAGAAAAAAATACTGATTGTTAATATTATCAAATCCCGTACATATCAGAACTTCGGAGTTTTGAAAAATATCCACATTTAGTCCTCTGGGTTGGACTCCCATAATTGGACTCCCATAATGCGACATGGGCTACTTTGAGTTGATGCGTCATATAAATATAACTTGAAATATGCTGCATTTTATAAATAAGATAATGAATATATATTTTGATTTTTATTCGTTTGGTCAATAAGTTTTTTTTGTCCACATCAGTCCCTTCAAGTTAGGGGTGAGCAACGGAACAGGGTACTTGCTTTCGGACCCGGAACCGTCGGTTTTGAAACCGGAACCGCTTAAGGTTCTGGTTCCTTAGGTTTTGGAATCGCCATAAACGGTTTTGGTTTCGGTTCTTATTTTTTTGGAACTGCTACCTGTTGGATACCAACCAAAACCGATTTAATACATACATAATATGATTATCTAAATTCTAAATATCATTGTTATTTTAAATTAAAAAGAAACTTAAAATGCTTTTGTAAAAAAACAGTTGATAGGTAAAGTCGGCAATATTTAGAGTTTATACTATTAAAAATAGTTACAAGGACAATCATTATAGTTTATACTATTAAAATGGCAATGAAAGTTGACATCTATATATGAGAATATTGGTTTATCAACTAATAGAGATTTGCAATGTTTACAATGTTGATATAACTAGAAGTACCCAAACATCCCATATCGTCTTAGGATAAGTAAATTTGAATGAATAGAAAATACAAATGACTATCAAGTTGTAGATAACTTTGCATCCTATTTCACATATTATTTGTCATTATGGATATGCTCGTTATAAATCGTCGGATCCCTATTTATAACATAATAGTTAAAGAATTTCATGATATTTGACTTAAAATAGTTTAAAAGTTTTTACCAGCAACCGGAACCGGTTTCGGCGGTTCCAAGAGCAGTTCCAAAATTTTAGGAACCGATATAAGTGGTTTCGGTTCCAGTTCCAATATCCTAGAAACCGTCGGTTTCGGTTTCACTAAATTTGGCAGGGCACCCGGTTATACTGACCCCTACTTCAAGTTGTTTAACTATACACATTCAATCGTTAATGACCTATTAGTTCTAGGTAAACTAAAAAATGAATTAATTAGGTAAAATATTTGTCACTTTGTACACATTGAGTTCTTAATATTTTTTTTTTGTGCATTTAGTCATTAATATTTTTTTGTTGCAAAATAAGTCTTTATTGTTTTTTTACACATTCAATACTTATGATCAATTGCTTTAAATTTTTCTAACGGTATCCTACGTGGTACAATCATTACTGATGTGTTTGGGGTTGTTGATGCTTATAGTAACCGCGTTCTCAACAGTTTGGTTGTTTATCTCTTGTGGTTTGGTTTAGTGCTTGTGTTATGAACGTCGTACCTTCATCGTACAATCTCGAATTTTAACAATCTTTATATCAACGCATTCATAATTTAGTTTGCTACAAGTTTCTTTTAGATTACTCCTGTTAAAAAGTAGTAAATTTTTACTTATGATCTTTATATAAATGCGTTATTTATAAATATATGTATAACATTTTTTTATAAAATTGTAAGTGTATATATATATATATATATATATATATATATATATATATATATATATATATATATGTGGATGGGTTTTTCACAAATTAATATCCTATGTGTTCCTGCAAACCCTAATGCTTGGATCTAGGCTTCTCTATTGTACATGCTATTCATCCAAGACTTGCAAACCCTAGATCTAGTGTATATAATTCGAAATTGACATAACAAAACAGATCTAGATGATTACCTCTTCTTAAAAGCTTGAATCTTCTTGTGTCTTGGAGCTTAGAGTCACAAATATCACTCCTCTAATGGCTTACAAACACCACAAGCAAGATAATGATCTTTGAGAGAGGTTGGAGGCTATAGAATTCAGATCTAGTACTCTTACAATGTAACACCCCATTTAATTAATAAACAAATAAATAAATTAATAAATGTAATTCTCGGAATGAATTGTGAAAATCTTAGAAGCGGGGGTATGTTTGGTAAATGAAAGAGAATTATGGAATGAAGGACAAAAGGATAAATATTGGATTTAATTTGTAAAGGATTTTAAAGTCACGGGCTAAAGGGGTAAATTCTGGAGTTAAATTGCAAAAAATTATGGGAGGATGGACTAGTATTGGCATAATGGTCGAATGTTTGGATGGGACACGGGTCTTAACCAGGTGCTCATTTTTTTCCCACTTCATAAATAGAAGCTGAGTACCCTAACCCTAATTTATGCTCAGCCGACACTTTTCCTTCCTCCATTGTCCAACCGCTACCACAAGAAGTTACCACAGCTGCCATCTCTCCCTCCGCTGTCAAGGATGCGATTAGTGTACCGAAGAAGATGTTTTACTATGGTCCAATGGCCGCCGGCGGCGAAAAATATCGATTGTTGCTATTACCGTTCTTGGGCGGAGGAGCGAGCCTCTCCTATCTTCTTTACGTTTCTGTTATGGTGGTACGCTGTTGTCGCTGACCTCAAGCGTGGTACCTTCTCCGCCATCGGTTGTGCTCCTGCTCGTGCTCCGTTGCCACCAAAGCTCCAAGCTGCCACCTATTGCGGTGCTCCGGTCGCGTCTGTCACCCCGAGATGGTGGAGGTGGGTGAGTGTTTTCGGTTACATCTCGTAGTTGCAGTGGTGCTACAGTTTGCAAGATGGTATGGGCGTGTGTTTGCTGGCTGGTAGCCGAGAAGAACCACCATGGCCGCTAGCCATAGTGGCTGCCACATTTGTCCTGTCATTACTCGTTGTTGCCGCCATACATCACCAAGAGGGTGGTTGTGTCCTTTTTACAACCGGAGCATGTGTATGTGGCTGTATTTTCCACTGTTTGAGTGTTGTATGAAGTGAGTGTGTGTTTATTGTATGTGTGTGTGGATGTATTATTTTTGTTAGAGTGTTTTGTCTAGCTGGAAAATTAAGGACAACCACCACCACCACCACCACCACCGTGAGGTGGTGGCTGCTGCCAAGCGCCACCGCTGGCCACCACAGTGTGGCTGTATCTATGTGTTAGAGTAGTTAGTATGTGTGTTTATTTTCGATTAAAGCTTTGTATAGTAATTAGCAAAAAGAATAATGAAAAGAATCATAACCACCACCGTATGCTGGTGGTTGCCGCCGCAAACTGTCATTGACCACCGCTACCCAAGGTGGTAATGGGTGGTGCCCCACTAGCAAAACCCTAATGGACCTAGCCAAAAATCTAATGGGCTTGAAGATTAATTTTAGGCATATTGGGCCATGTTTAGGTGGAAAGCCCTAATTGTGAGTATTTGGGTTTTTGACTTATTGGGACCCACATTTGGGCCATTTGGATTGGATTGTGTATTAAGCCCAAAATAGTCCATATCATTTATCTAGTAGAGTAAAAGACTTAATGGATTAAGTCTTTAATGGGTCAAGTGAGAGACACTTAACACTAATTGTCATTTTATATGAAATCCTAGTTTCACTTAGACTTTGAGTTGGGCCTTCCTATTGGGCCTTGGTGATTGGGATAATAATGGATCATCCAAGAGCTAGCAAATGAACTAGAATAATCTAATGGACCTAGGGTAAGGCCCACATAAGGAGCTTGGGCCCAATTTGGAAAATTAGGCCATAAATGGGCTATAGTTGGGCATTGGTCCATTATTAGACTTTTGGGCCTTTGGATTGGGCCTTGGGCTTGAGTTAAGCTAAGATAGAGGTAAAGTAGTCTTTTACCCCAAGTATGGACTTATGGATATGAGTTGGAACCCAATCATTAATTGGGTGTTATTTTGATGATTGACAAATTTGGGAATCTGTCATCCAACAGCTAGGGTTTTGTCAGCGGGACTTCAGCAGTGTGAGGTGAGTTTTCCTCCAGTAGGAACGGGTCTAAGACACCAATGCCAACCCGTTTAAGTAGTAGAGTATGCTGGGGTGAGCCCAATGTTGGGGTTAACCCGATACAACTTATATGTTTTCGGACTTTGGTCCGATGCCGGGGCGGTCCCGAGAAGTAGTTATGTATGATTGAAGTCTTTGTGATTCGTGCATGTTTATGTGTTATGTGTTATGTGTTCCGGACTCCGATCCGATGCCAGGCAAGCCCGATGCAGTATATGTGAATATGTTATTTGTTATGTGTTATGGGGTAAGCTCGATGTTAGGGCAAGCACGATGTATGTTAGTCATTATGCCATGTATTATCTATTCGGGGCAAGCCCGATGTATACTAGT